TAAGTTTTAGACATAGACTATCTTAAAATTTTAGAGAGAAACTACTTGAATTTTTGAGTGAAAAACTATTTCAAATTTTTTAGAGAGAGAATATCTCAAATTTTAAGTTTGGGAGAGAGAGAGTATCTTAAAATTTTAGAGAGAGAAACTATATCAATTTTTAGAGAGAGAAATTACCTAAAATATTTTAGAAAGAAACTATCTAAAATATTTAGAGAGAGAAACTATATCAAACTTTAAGTTTTAGAGAGAGAAATTATATCAAAATTTAGATAGAGAAACAACTTGAATTTTTTTAGCTGGAGAACTATCTCAAAAATTTTAGAGATAGAAACTATATCGAATTTTAACTTTTAGAGATAGGAAGTATATAAAAAATTTAGATAGTGAAACTATAGCAAATTTTAGAGAGAGAAATTAACTAAACTTGTTTACAGAGAGAAACTATCTCAAAATTTCAAGTTTCATTTGTTATATCTTTGTGTGCATGTTTGCAATTGCGTTGGCCAAACATGGGAAAAGGCATGCTTAAGTAATCGTTTCCTGTAATTTGATTGCATATGTAAATATTTTCATGTAAATATTTTCTTGTCAAACTTTCACGCATGCCAAATGACTCCTAATAGTTATACAAAAAGGACAATCCAAGCAAGAGATTTACAAAACCTGGGTACCATCCAAAGCCATCCAACCAAATCCAACTTTAGTAACCAGGTTATAAAATAACCAAGGTTTTGATTCAAAACCTGGGTTTGTTAACAAATGAAGCCAAACGAGCCCTTAGGGCTTGTTAGCTTGAAACAAAGAGACTCTAAAGGATAATCATCCCTACAAAAAAATTAAAAAGAAAAAACAAAATATCTTTAACTAAAAGATAAATAATGATTTTCTAGAAGAGAAAAGATAATTTTGTTTCCCTAAAACAAAACCTAACTCTAATAAGAAATACAAGTAAACCCATAAAAATCAAAATAAAAAAAAAATTAATTTTTTTAATTATTTATCCTAATCTGCATCAGTGTGTGGTTATAGCTGAAAGTGAGTTTTTAAAGTCTATTAAGTGGAGTAAGAAAGAATAAAGAGGGCCTTGAAATTTGGGATATTTATCGTTAGATTCTTGATATATAATGTAATATGTTGGTGCTTTCTTTTGAACATGTCCACCAGGATATGAATGTGGAGGCTGATAGGTTAGCCAATAGGGATATACTAGCGTGCTGTCTATTGTCATGTTTCCTGGTCCATTGTAACTTTCTTTGCTTTCATATTCTTCGGTAAAACGTATATTTTAGTCGGATTATAATACAAGTTCAGTGATTTGATTCAGAAGGGCAAAAAAAACAAGACCACCATAAACTTGAAGTCCTTTGGGTTTTATAATTGACTTCGTTCGGCGTTGAACTCGATAGGGAAAATAATATTTTGACTAATTCTATCTAGGAAAATGATTTGATAGAGCTGCAGCCCGATCGGAATAGTAAGGCATCACCTCGTAATTCATTGAACATTACAATTTAAATATTGAAAAACTTTTACATTAATCATCTCTGCTTGAACATACTAGTTGTGAAAGAAAATTAGGATTTTAAGCTCTAAATATTGTGTATATTGTAACAAATTATCTAGAGCGTCCATTTCACCCTAAAAATAAGTGCTCATAGATCCACAAGACCTGTACCGTTTTTAGAGTTTCAAATTTTATTCTTGGTAATGAAAATTGATTTAGATCCATTATGAAGATTTTCGTTGACGAAAGTGCTTTGTAGACAATGATTTGAGTTGAGGGTTTATTTTGTTTTCATAAAACCTAATCCTTATAGAAACTTCATCCTCCCATCCAGCGCGTTCTAAAGGAGCCCTTTATTATTATTATGTTTAGAACGTTGACTATCTAATATGGCTTCGACATCCCAAGTTTGAATGGTAAGATTGGATTACTCAAGACATACCCTACACCAAAGGAGTATCAAACGGCCACCAAATAAGCGATATTTATTCCATCTTTTTGTTGGACTTAGGGTTGGCAATGGTCAGGGCCGCAAACTAGAGCCGAAGTGCCAGGCTGGAGGTGGCGCCGGCCGGGCCAAGCCATATTTTTTACCTATTTTTTGCTTTCATATTTTTTTCATTTGTTTTTATCCCAGCCCAGCCCTGCGGAAAAAGGCAGGGCCGGGCCGGGCCAGGGCTAAGCTAGCACAACAGGTTGCCACCCGGACTTTAGTTATATATTGTAAATAACATTTTATTTGCTTGATCATAAAATGTGAGTAGGGCAGATCTTGTATAAGTTTTGACAGCTTGTAACGTGGATGAAAGCCGTTATTGGTTGGTGCATTATTCTATTGGTTAGATGGGGTCCTACCCTGCGTTGGCCCCACCTACTATTATGTTATGTGTGAAGTGGACTTTGGACTTTGGACTTCCACTTCTCGTGCGAACCAAGTGTGTGAGGACAAGACTCAAATAGTCATGGTACAAAACCCTACCTAACCAGAATGTAAGTTGGATTCTGTCACTTATGGGTCCAATGGAAAAAAATTTATTACTTAAGCATGTGTACTATGCTCCCTCGGGAGCATATCGTACACATATTCTCTTGGTGAGAAGATCTATTTGGGAGGATTCTCCTAATTTAAAATCTGAGAACCACCTAAGAATCACTGCATGATTATTTTGCAAGAGAAAAAAATTGAATTTCTTTTCTTCTAACACTTAGATCTCGCCCTTCGGACATTAAACAGTTTCTATTCAATTTCTAGAAGTCGTTCATTTTAAGCATAGAGAAATTCAGAAATGTGTTTGTTGATGTTAGCCCATGGATTGAAATGTTTACATCCGTAAAATTGCTCCTAAATTTTTGTTCTACCTGAGGGAATAAATGGACAATATACTCTCCTGTGAGAGCATGTGATCTTTGGCTTATTTCTTAGATGAGGACCTATCTTAACTATCACCTTAAAAAAATTGCAAACAAAAAATATCCATCGTCTCTCCAGTGTTTGACCTTACTCGAGGTCCACACGATACGGTATCGTGGCAGTGTCACGTTATGTCATCAATTATTAATCAAATGGGAGGGCTTTCTACGTGAACCCCCCCCACATAAATAATATATATGACCTCGGGCCTCAGCCGTAAGATCTCAATAGATGGATGAGATGGATTGAATTACAATGTCACAAATTAGCACTTTACCATCAGATCTTGATCAGATAGCTCATAGTATTTTATTTTTTATTTTTATTTGACAAATAATTTTGAACCAAAATTTGGGGCATACATAGATCTAACGAGGATGCACATGATAAAAATATTAAAAAATTATTTTCCGTGATGAAAATTTACCAAAATAACCTTGAATATTATAGGGGCATTTTGGTCATTTATTTTTACATAATATATATATATTTCTCAATATTTATTTATTTTTTTTCAAGGTTCACCCTATTTTTCTAATGGGATGCCCAAAATTACATAAAAAATATATTGCAAAAAAATAATAAAAAATAAAACAGTGTTTGGCGTGGCATTGTGGTATGAATAATCGTAGTGGTTTGATTCAGATCGAACGGCTAATAAGTGGGATTGGATATAACTTTTATGGGGTTGGGTCACATAGAAACATTTACTTTCCTAAGGTTACTAGTATTTTATTATTCAATGGCCAAGATCGGCAAAATATAATAAAAATTCAAAACATTATGTTAATTAATTGGCATTTCAAGCGCTGGACTAGCGCTATAAAAATTTACGACCAACTTAATTATTGACAAGTATTGCATGACATGTTTCATGTTTTCCTAAGATGCTTTAAATGACAAAGAAACTATCATATTCTCCATCCATTTTGTCAAAAAATAGGTTAAAAATATTTTCTCTAAAATGAAAATTATGTCTTTATGTTTGGGATTGTATACAATGATATTATTTACCTCCGATACAATTCTAATAACCGGAAATGAAATATGATAGCTTGGATGTATCACATCACCTTATATGAAATATGATAGCTTGGATGTATCACATCACCTTATATAAAATATGATAGGTTGGATGTATCACAAAGTTTGAGAATATTTTTTTTGAGCTTTCAGGGGTGAAAATCGACCCGGACCAAAGCCAGGTCTGAATATGGGTCCAAAATTGGACCCGGCAGGTCGGGTCCAAGTCTAAATCTTAGACCCGAACACCATCCTGGTCCGGGTCCATGTCTAGGTTCAATCAGGACCGGTCGGGTCCGAGTCCATGTCTAGGTTCAATCGGGACCGGTCGGGTCCGAGTCCAAATCCTGCATATATTTTTGGGTATTAAATATCTTTAAATACATATATATTTTATTTTTTAGGAGGATTCTATGGGTCCTCTGGGGTTTGGGTTCCACATTAAATTTTTGGGTCCGGCTTCTGTGACTTTAGGTTCGGTTGGGTCCTGGTCCGGCCGGACCCATACCCAACCCGACCCGCCCCGTTGCTACCCCTCTAATAGAATAAATATCGCCACTCAATTTCATATTTAATATTTAAAATTAATTTTTAACCACCTTATCCAAAAAGTAAATGGTCTCATTGTATGCTATGCTTTTCCTTTTGGTTTATCTCCATTTTTCTGATAATATTCGCCCTAGTAGTTTGGTATATTTCTCCCCATTTAACTGCCTCGTATGATGCTATCATTTACGGTTGATATATTCAACATTAAGATATTTGATATCTGAATTTAAGTGTGAAATCTAAAGTGAATATGTCGTGAATCATCTAAACATGGCATTCACACCAAATATATTATCCATCTTTGCTGTCATATATTATTTTATATCTATGTCTAAATTCATGACTTTCACGTTATATAAAAAATTATCTCACCTGTTCCTACTGACGACTTTGAACAAATGTTCAAACCTTTGAATCATATGGAAAAATAAATGAGCAGTAGACAAGACTCAACTAGATCTTGAAAACATAAAACTGTGTAAATAACAGAGTTAAAAGTCCCCATACTTGTGAAGTCAATGCAGTTCAACCCTAAAAAGATCCCAAGTCTTCTAGCTTCTACATGATGGAAATAACTGGGCAGAAACAAATTCTACATGGAAATTCATGGGATCACATATTTATATTGCTGACCGTATACTAAACTAAGCTTCGACACTAACTAATATTTTACTTAGTGGTTTAGTAACCTAAAGCTTTCCTAATTCTCATCTCCATAGTCAAGATTTGTGTATGCAGAAAAAGCCTCCGAAACCCAGTTCTTCTTCCTCCAAGCCTTCCAACCCATGTCCTCACATATTTCATCATATTGGCTGATATCAAAGGTGGAAGTGCACTGTCTCTTGTAAAACCTTGTGCTCTTCGTCATAACCTTTATCTCTTTGTTAGTGTGCTCCATCATCTCTTCCACACTAGGAAGCACAAAGCCGCCCTCGATAAGGTGCGCAAGCCACTTGCAGCGCAGCTCAGCAGCATGGACACCGGAGACACCTTGGATATACCCCACAAATGCCATATTTGGAATTAGAGGATGGATTGTGCCTCTGCAAAAATTGTAATTAGAAAATGTCCAACATAAGGGATATTTCAGTTATAAATGACAATGGGATAAGAGTTACTGTCGTAGAGGAAAGTAACGAAGCTTTTAATATGAAAATCCTCAAAGTATGAAAAAAAATAATTGAAAAAAAGAAAGAAAGAGAAATTCATGACATGATTATTACCTGTATAATGGCATAACGCCCGATGGGTGTTCTAGCATTCCAGTTAGTGGCTGTGGAAAAAGTGATTTAAGCTTCTTACTTCCCTCAAAACCAGTGGCAAGCATCACAATATCAGCCTCCACCTTGCTTCTGTCGTCCAACTCTATCCCCTCACTCCAAAACCACCATTTTTCCGCCCGCCGGAAAATAATCCGGCCGTCATCAGCTGCTGGAAAGAAGTTTTCAGGCACCAAAGCCATCTGACATGACGCGTAATCTTCCTCGAAGGGGTGGTCCGGAACCAACCCATACTTTTTTATGGGGAGGTTCCATATCAAGTAAGCCTCCACAAACTTGGAAACAGCTTTTCTCTACAAGGAAAGTAGGAACCAATGTTAGCATTACCCTTGACTTAAGGGGTCTATATGGTGCGGTAAAACAGTTTCATTTTCACAGTTTGTATGGCACTTCTCTCTTTTAATAATCGAAGTAAAGGAACACCCGAGCTCATTTTCCTTTTCTTGTAATTCATGGCTTGTCTTTGGTTGATAAATTAATATTAACATCATTCAAAGTCTCATATTAAAGTACTTTTGAGGATCTTATCATTCAATAATGAAGGATTATTACCTAAAAACTTCGGTAGTGATGGTAATAAGGCGACCATGAAATGAAAAAGCATAAATAAAATCATCCCCATACATACAACCTTGTAATAACTTTTTTTTCTAAAACTGATTTTTTAAAAAATCAATTTTTACTACTTCTTTAACTTTATTTTGAAGTGTTTTGTTTAATCTTACTTTAAGTATACATTTTTTATTTTTAGGAATTTTTATATTTTTTAACCTTTTTTTTTATGCCACGGTATTCGGCGCTACTTAGGCGAAGTTACTCGGACTTGACCCGAGTCGACCTTTCTTACACTGATTTTTATAAGGAGCGATGAGATAAACATATGTGCTAAATATGGGGACCAATAGACTCTTGCTTAATTTTTTAATGCCCAGTCTTGACAGTTTCTTTATAGTATTCCATGGCCAGAGGGGTTTGAAAGATCATTTTCCTATATCAAGACGCAAAGGAAACTAAATGTGGTTTTCTCAGGACGAATTTCTTGGTTCGAACTCTTGACCTCCTCTCCATATTCAAACTCTCAAGCTGGCGCCTCGCTAAAACCCAACAAAATAAGAAACCTGTGGAGCTCCATATTTGAACCTATTTTTCATTCTTCAGTTGACCGAAATAGCTTAAAGTTCTCTGAAAAAGTAGACGATTTAGAATTGACCATATCTTCCACTTTTATTTCCATTTCTGCGTTTTCATGTTCATTTTCTTAGACTGGGCAGCAAGAAAGATAGGCTAATAAAACCAAAGACCACGTACATTATCACAAGGCGACAACTAAGCCTCATCTCTTTGGCTTTCTAGAATTTAATGCTTTCTCCATGGACTGGTGACCGGTTATGGTCCGATAAAAAACTATGAAATATAAAAATTAAAATATATTAAAAATATTTCTTAACTTTGTTTAGCTAGTGGGGCCAATTAAAACTAGAAGGACTTGTAGGTTAAAATTAGTGACTTATCTTTTATCAAACCAAATTTTTGTTTTAGGCAAGACAGGGTACTAAATATTTGAGAATTTTGCAAAGAATGTATTGCCCTACCCTTTAGTAATATTGACCAACATTGCTAAAATGGATCAACCCTTTTTTGGAGGTCAGAGTACCCAAAACTTCTAAAAGTCGTTGTCTGTGTGTAACATGTTGATAAGAACGTTTATGTGACCTCTCTCTCTCTCTCTCTCTCATTCCTTTGACCGGTGGAAAATCACATCTAGCAAAGGGCAATGTCTCCCAATGTGGCCTCATGCAATATTTCTTCTACTCACGTGCTCATGACTTGTAGTTTGTGGCTCTACTCTTCAAACATGCGATTGTTGAAAGTTTTCAAATGTCCGTGCCTGTGCCTGTGCATGTAAGCATGGAACAAGCGGCATCTACGTGATTGTGAATTGCATGGCGTCCTGATGAATGCGCTTGCACTTGAGCCCCTTTCCTAGATATCGATGATGAGAATGTGTTTTTTTTAATTTTTTTCGATAATGAGAAAGTGGTGTTTTGTGTACAACAGGCATGCCCCTATGTCGTTCTTTAATTTTGTGTGAGTAAGCGTGTGTCGTACTCGGGGTAACTCTCCAATTCCACTCACAATTTTGAAGATTTAATTATTTAGAAAATAAATAAGGGCCCGTATTCCCCATTGAATTACCCAAAAAACCGAGCGATTCACTAGGCCAGCCGGTTTAGGGGGTCCAACACTTATTTAGAAAATAGGCAGGGGCTGTATTCCCCATGGAATCACCCAGAAAACCCGGCCATCCACTTGGCGAGCCGGTTTAGGAGGTCTTACCACTAGCTGTTGGACCACCACCTAACCTGCCCGGCCATTATTTTTACTACCGGGCCGGGCTTCCTTTAATCCGGCCAGTTAGCCAGGTGCATTTGTAAGAGAGAAAGAGAGAGAGAGAGAGAGGGTTCTGTGCATTGGTGTGAATGCACTTGTATACTTTTCAAGATTGAAAGGTGTGTGTGCACTATAACGTTTGACAACAGAGAAAGGTGGTAAGAAAATGTGCTCATGCATGTCCATCTGAGAGAGAGAAAAAGAGAGAGCATCATCCCACAAACTTACCACAGGAGCAAATAGACGGCAAAGGACCTCTCTAAAAAAGGTTTGGGATGGTTTCTCATGGAGAAATTGTGCTGATCTTGCACCATAGAGAAGATGGAAGGGCACCCCCCAGATGTAATCGGTGGGAGGCACTATCCAGTGCAAGGTTCTTATCACCACAGTGCACGGCTTCCCATCAGGACCTAAGAAATTCAACAAACAATTACATAAATATTTACACCAACTAAAATTAATGAACTAACCCATCCTATTTGGAGAAGAAAAATACTTGAACACTAAAGTCAATGAACTAACCCACCCAGCCGATTTAAAGATGAGAAAATTTTGTGTCTGCACAGATAAAATATATATGGATATGATAGCTGATAATGACGTTACAGGCTGGTACTGATTGTATTTGTGAAGCCATAACAAATATGTAAAATTATTGTCGGTTCATTACTAACCATCTCATTAAGATTGTACGAGTGGATTCCACTATACACACATAAATTATGCCAGTGGAGATGTATAAAATTCTCTCCCATGAGGAAAATTCTAGATCAATAAATGTTTCCTTATAAGTTTATAGGATGTTACTTTTAATTCACACACACACACACACACACATATATATATATATATATATGGGAAAAGTTTATACAAGGTTGCAACCTTAAAATGTATAACTACGGATGCACCTCAAAAATCTATCAGAAAAAGTTGTTTTAATATTGAAAAAACCTCTAATTGATCATCTCGAAGTTCAGATGTATGATTATAACAAAACAAAAGGATTTTGAATTCCAGAAATGATACATCTTATAACACATTATCTAGACCGTCCATGTTCAAGATTTTCATATGTTTATAGATCTACTTGATTTTAATCATCTTCGGAGCTTAAAATTTTATTATTAGATATGAAAATAGATTTTGAGATAATGTTAAGAATATTCTTACATCAAAATTATATGCTTATATAAAATTTGGAAGTGCAGCTTAAATGGATTGTTTAAGTTTGCAACCTTATGGAAGCCACACCCTATATTTAACATTAGAGGAAAGAAAATGCGTTGTTTATGTACCTTGATTGGCTTCTGCACACTCTGTAGCTAAATCAATAGCGGACTTTTTATACCCAACCACCACCACCTTCTTTCCTTTGAGAAGTTGATGAGCAGATTCCTTGTCTAATTTTGAGTAGTCGAGTGTATGCATGACCTTGCCGTTGAATTTTTCCGGCCCTTTTCCATGTGGGAAAACTGGGATTCTTGGGATGTTGCCGTATTTACCGGTGCACATCACCACGAACTCGGCCCGATACCACTGCAACAACCATAAAAACCAGTAAGATAACTCTGAAAATTCCATTATAAACAATCAGAACGCCCACTCAAAGCCACGAAGAAGTGCAGTTAGACCACTTTGAGAACCATCTACAACATCGAAGAAATTATTGCAAAAACGCAGGTAAACTACTGCACAAACCACTTCAAAAATTCAGCAAAACCTTGAGAGAGACACTGCAGAAAAAACTTTAAGAAACCCACAAACCCGATCATAAGAAAACCGCAAGAATAAAAGAGAAAACCACAAAGAGATTACAAAAGCGAAAGGATACGTCTGTAAAAACGTTAAGAAACAATTAGGAAAACATGAATGAACCATGTAAAGAATCTAGAAAAACATTGCTAAAACCATCAACAAAAATGAAATATAAACACCACGAAAATAATAAAAAAGGTGACAGAAAAGTGGATAAATATCCAAAATACCAAAAAATAAAAATAAAAAAGTGAGAAAAGGGGAAAGGAGCGAGAAAAGTGCAAATCCAATTATCAAAAGTTGTTTAAAAACGTGAACATGGTTTCCTGTTTACCTGGAGATCATCGGAATCGTTGGTCTTCACGGCGAGTTCCCAAATTGGACGGCTGAAGATTGGCCGTCCCTTCTCACCCCACTGATTCGAAATAAATTCAGTGCTTTTGCAGTCGCCAGAGAACCGGATATGAACCACCTTCGAATTGAATTTGATGAATTTGAGGACATCAAAATGGCGGGCATAGCCATCAAGATAGTCCAAGAACTCAGAATGAGAAGGGAAGAGAGAGGTGACGCTCTTTGGCCATGGGTAATCAGAAAACTGGAAATCAAGACGAGGAGTTTGAAGCTTTGTGGAATGAAAGGTGCAATGTTTCCATACACCACCTGTTGAATCAGAGACTTCAAAAACCACAGGTTTAAGGTTCCTAAGCTGTTTTGCTGCTGCAATACCGCTTATCCCAGCCCCCACTATGGCAACCTTGGTTTCGATAAAACCGGATTTTGGAGAGAAATCATGGTTTTCCATGGTTTTGTAGATGGTCTTTAGGGTTTGAGGGTAGAAGGTGATATATCTCTAGACTTTTGGAAGGGGAGATTGTATGGAGAGAAGATGGCCAGCAAGGGGGGTATTTATACTCCAAATGTGCCCCTCTTAGTGAAGCTTTGGTCTACCTTTTTGGGCTCTCATTTTTCTTCTTAAATATTTTTAGCAAATGAACAAAAACTTTCAAGATGCCTTCACGAAATTATCAAACTTTTTTCAAATACCAAATCTCCCTCCCTCCTTCTCTCTCTCTCTCTCTTCAAACACCATAATTTCTCTCTCTCTATTCAAACACCATAATCTCTCTCTCTTTTTCTCTTTCTCTCTCTCTTCAAACACCATAATCTCTCTCTCTCTCCAAACACCATAATCGTTCTCTCTTTCTCTCTCCATACACCATAACCTCCCTATTCAAACACCATAATCGTTCTCTCTCTCTCTCTCTCTCTCTCTCCAAACACCATAATCTCTCTCCCTATTCAAACACCATAATCGTTCTCTCTCTCTCTACAAACACCATAAGCTCTCTCTCTATTCGAGTACATAATTTCTCTCTTTATCTTTATTCAAACACCATAATTTCCCTCTATTCAAAGGCCATAATCTCTCTCTCTTTCTCTATCTCTCTCTCATATCCAAGTAAAGTAAGACTGAAAACTACGAGACCATTTAAGTTCAAAAATGGATGTATGACTACTATGTCTTGAGGCTAGCAATCGTATGGACCATTTCCAACTTCCATATGAAGCCTCCTCTCAGCTTCCTTCCCAACTTTCGTGTTCCCAGCAGCCACAGCCGCCTTGAACGTCTTGAAAATGATAATTTACAAACGTGCGGCATATATACCCACGTACACACGTGCACACACAAGACAAATAGAGCAGGAAAACCAGGGTAGCCTTGTACTTGAATTAAGCACTATAATTTGGATGCAAAATGATAAAGAATATCTCACTATTCACCACGGTTTTAGATAATGGTAATCAGTGTACCGCGATTCATCATGCCCACTCGGACTCGGGTCAGTAACTTGGTCTCGCCCTATGGCTGAGGTCAAGTTTCCCCGGTTAGGGTGTACAACTTGCGGATAAATAAATATATTCAAATTTTTTTTTTTGAATAGTGTTGGATTGTTTTAGAATCTTTTTGAATACGATTTCGATGTATTTGGCAAAGATTGGTGTGTGTTTTATGCCATATTAGCTATTTTTATATTTTCTCTTATTTAAAAAGTTATTTAGAATGTCCGAAACAGTAAATTACTTTTTTAAAATCCATTTTTCTCTACATTTTCAAGCGTGTTTTAACTTTTTAAAATTGTTTTAGGTCTCAATTTACTTTTAATACTGGTTATTTAGTTTGTTGGAGTTTTTCTATTCGTTATAATGAATTTAGCGCCAAAAGGCGATGTGCCATATAACATTTCACATAAAGTAGTATTTGCTAATCCCGGCAATATATGAGATGGTATGTATTTTAATGGGCTGTTTGAAATCAGATTTAAGGAACTAAGTCACATGTTAAATAGTTCAACTTTCGTGTTTTTTTTATATAGAGTGGTAGTTCAACTCTTTGGTGTGTTTTGATATGGAGTGGTAGTTGAACTCTTTGATGTGTTTTGATATAGAGCGGTGTGGCCCTCTCTTGAGAATTTTACTATCGTAGAACTAGAAGGAGCCATCTAATTTTTTAATTTTTTTTGGGGTGGAGAGAGTAATTGAGTGGGGATGACAGCCCCTACCCACTTTTTCAAATAGTAGAGGAAGTGTTTTTCTTAAATGTTAGTAGGGTGATGTCAGTGGAACCCTAGCCCCTTTCCCTGAGCCATCTGAATTTAAATTAACACATGTATCATACTAATAAGGGTAAGAGTTTATTTTGTGGTAGGGTTCTCTACAGCTTTCTCGCCCAACGCAAAGAACAACATCTTTTCTTTATTGTCGGATGAATCTCCATTATGAATGTCGCCAATTTGAAAATGGGGCTGAGGTTGCGGTGGTAGTTTCACTTGAGCTCGAGTTAAAGGTAAAAAATTTACTATTTCAAAAACAAGTAAGGGCTCATCATCCCCACTGAGTTATCCAAAAAAAAAAATGTCAATTCAACCAAATAAATAAAGGTGCGGTTGTATAGAGCCTAGGTTCTAAACAATCAAATTAGAACCTACCTTCAAATAGTGTTGAGATATGTGGTTTCAATACTTAAAATCTTTGTGATAGTCTTAAAATATATTTTCATCTTTATTTATAACGTTTGAAGCTTAACAATAAGTGTAGTTCGCCAGATCTATGAAAAATTGAAAATCTTGAAAATTGACGGTCCAAAAATACGTTACAAAATACACTATTTTCAAAACTTGAAATCCATTTTTTTTCATTGCCATGCATCCTGATGTCGAAATGATCAACTTGAGGATATTTGGGCATCAAAACAACCTCTTCTAGTGAAATTTTTGAGAAGGCTCTAATTTGATTGTTTAGAGCCTTGGCTCTATATAAACTTTTCCGAATTTCTTCTCTTGTAATGCATTATCTTGTTTGACAAACACTTCATAATCTTTAATATTTGTTGCCCCAAGCTTCTCCTCTTAGTTGATACTAACATTTTCAGACTTCGACATAGAGATTCAAGTGAGCTGCATTCCATTATTGTTAATTTAGGCTTCATCATTCCCCTGGAGAGGTGGAAAACTAACTAAAAAGCTGTTTCCATCCATACACATCGTCAAGGAAAATAGGTTTTCGTTTGCATTACAAGTTTCCTAGGCTATTTTTATTCACCAAGAAGGTCAAATACGCCAGGTGTAAAAAGGACATGAACGTCCCACTCGGTTGACGAAACAATTTGGTGGAAGAAGACAAGTGAGGGACTCTAATTGACATTTCCTTGGTTATTGCTAAATGTATTTTGGGTGCAGTTTGCATACGAATGCTTCCTTAGGTGTAGAGGTAAGGTCCACCTTCAAAATTTATCATGGTGTATAATTTTGATGTAAAATATTTTTAAAATTATCTTAAAATATTTTTTTATATCTAAGTATACAATTTTAAATTTAAAAAATGGTTAAAATCAAGTAGATCTATAAACATATGAAAATCTTGAAAATGGACGGTGTAGATAATTTGTTGTAAAATGCACTATTTTTTAGACTTAAAATCTTTTTATTTTTTATAGTCATACATCTCGATATCGAGATGATCAATCAAAGGGTTTTTTAACGTTAAAACAACGTTTTCCTATGGATTTTTGAGGGGGGCATTCATAGTTCTATATTATAAGGTAATATCCTTATATAAACTTTTTCCATGTATTTTACCTTTTTTTTCTCTTAAACAAAATTATTTCAGATTTTCTAGAATATATAGAAAATTATTGAAATCCTTCAGGTTTGAATGTTCTCCCCATAATGTTTCCCATTATTGAAAAGTCTCTCTCACCTATTACTCTAACATATTTTTTCTCACTATGCCCCAAGGATAAATTTTAGTTTTATTTATAACAAAAATACCTTTATTTCTCTCGTTCTTTTCTCGTATTTTATCTCACTCTTTTCTTAGTTTTTCTCTAGGCCTACACTCCATATATCTCTTAAAAAATATAAATGAGTTAGTTACTCTCTCTAGAGACATATTGGGTTCTGGATCTACATAGAGAGAGAAAAAAAATGAGAAAGAAAGAGAGAGAAACCAATAGACCTATTTATATTTTTAGAGAAAAACCTAATCTATTCATGCTTTTAGAGAGAGTTTCAAAGAGAGAAACCAACAAATCTATTCACATTTTTTAGATAGTACTTTAGGGATACAAAGAAACAAACCAATTAATGTTTTTTGAGAGACAAAAGAGAGAGAGCTATGAATATTTATTTTGGATTTTCTAAGAGCTATTAATCAGAGCATTTATGTTATAAATATAACTGAAAAGTACCCCAGTGAGAGAAAATAAGTACTTTGAGGTAATGTGTGAAAGACTTCTCAAGGGGGGGTGTTATTATGAGGAATATCCAACTTAAGGGAGTTTTAGTAATTTTCCCAAAAGATATCGCAAATGAGGTCTAAATAATTCAATTTTGCCATACTAGCTCATACATGTTTGAGTGTGTGCATGTGCGGGACTGCAAATGTAAGCATGTATGAAAATTTATATAGATTTGTATAGCTATATATACACATATATATAGCATTTTTCTTTTTCGGGGGTGGGGGGGTGTTTATAGTAAACTTAGTAATAAAATCATAAAAAACGTAACAAGTCCGATATGGCATAATAACGAAAATTAATGTCATATATTCAAACATAATTAATATCAAATTTAAATATTGCTTCATTTAGCACATACAGGAAATTAGGTTTCAAAGTCTATTATGGACCCAAGTTTATGAAATTTCGAAAATTCAAATGAGCAAGTTATGGGTTGAAGACTTTTGAAACCTAGATTATTAGTGCATGCATTTTGATGGGTAGGATGACTAAGAAATTATCATCCATGGTCTCCTTTATACTTCTATTTTTTCTTTTTCATGCCCTCATTCATTGAATAAAACTTTAGCTGCTCCTAAGAAAAGAAGAAGAAGACAAAAAACAGAAAAGAAAAAAGGTTATGGTGTATTTCTTACTCTTGCAAGATGTTGATTTGAAAGTCCAAGGATCATATTACCTCTTGCATGTGACATGGCTATGACTATGTTCACTTATTCCGTACTAGTTGTAGTCGTATTATTTTTTTGTTTAGTTATCATTAGGCTTATGAGGACTAAATGGAGAAAGAAGTTGCATGGTATTAGAATATTAAAATTGAAGTTAGGAAAAAGTTTATATAAGGAGTAGAAGCAACGTGCACCTCAAAAATCCACCTCTAAAAGTTGTTTGGATGTCTGAAAAACCCCACAGTCGATCATCTCGACGTCGAGACAGATATAAGCTAACAAAAAGAAAAGATTTCAAATCCTAATAATACTACATCTTCATACACACTACCTAAA